TAGTTTCCTATGTATTAATTATACATATGATAATACTAAATATATTGTATAACTAATACTTGCATTAGTAATACATAGGTTGAAAAAGTATACCAAACAAGGAATTAGTAATACCAAAAGCTAACGCATGCATTATTTTCTTTAATGCATCCTACGTACCAAACGAGTTCTTAGAGTTTATAAATACATTCATTTGTAACTTAAATAAATCAATTAGGGGTCATTTGGTTTAAATACGGCTTATGTCGGGATAAGTTATATTGAGATTAATTATGGTGGGATTAGTCATTTTGGTATTGTTTTTTATACACTATTTGGTATGTTGTTTAAAAATGACAATTGCATGATTTCTAAGAAGAAGATATAAGTTATCCCGGCACTAATTACCCTATCCTCTACAAAGTATAAATTATCTCGGTACTAATTTTAATCTCGGGATAACTTATACCAGGTTTGCTAACCAAACAAAGTATTAAGGTGGTATTAAATTTTTATACCAATACGATACCTTCTTATACCCCATACCAAACGACCCCTTACAGATTAATTCACATAATATAATTAAGTGAAAATAGCCACAAATTCAACCCTATTTATGTGAGTTTGCTCACATTGTTAATACAACACCCAAATAAAAGAGGATAACTGCTTTAAATTGGCAGCCAGCATAAAATTAGTCAAATTGTGATAAATCATCACATATAAAATAGGAAAATTTTCGTTCCTATATCATATAGGAAACTATATTACCAAATATATTCATAGTTTGCATATTACCCTTCATACTAATAGTATTTCTACATAATATATACAATGCATTAAATAAGGAATCATTATAGTTGTAGGATTCCTTATTTAGGCTCGCTAAACAAAGAGAATTAAATATTTTCCAGATCTTCCAACGCAGATCACGCACAGTAATCACTATCGTCGACTTCTTTACAAAATTTCCGTATTCTGTTTTTTGCGCTAAACTCTGTTTCAACATTTTCTCTGATTTCACAAATCAAAATTGACAAAATCTTCTACAATTCTTCTGCAACAAAAGCAATTATGGCGAAAATACAAAGCAAAGGAAAAGAGAGCAGCAATTCCACCATTGACAACCATTAAAAAACTTTGAAACTTTGAATTCAAATTTGGGTTTTCAAAAATCATTATTTGTTTGGATTAGGTGTTGTTGAAAATAATTGGGAATATGGTTTGAAGTTTATATCTCAATTTTGAGGGGTTTTGGTAAAGATTAGACTTGGTTTTGACTGAATTTCAGATTGAAACTCGAAGAAGAAGAAGAAGTATATTGCAGAAATTGTAGAAAAATTGTAGACAATTGTTTATTTATTTTTCTTTTATTCATTTACCTATTGTATGAAAGTTGAACAACATTGTATAAAAATTGTATTTAAGTGGATGATTTAGTACTGTTTTGGACAAAAATATGTATCAAACATGTGAAACATACATTTCAGGAGAAGTATTTCGAGTCCAAATATGTACCCAGTTTGTTGATATTTTGTAGATAAATTGTAGATTATTTGTATTCTGATTGTAGATGCTTTATTTTCTGTTTTCGCAAATAAAAAAATGACTAAAACTTCTACAAATCTTTTGAAAAAATGTAATTATGTCAAAAATCCCAATTATGCTACAATTGAATGAGAATTAGGATATTAAAATTCAATGTACCCAGTTTGTAGATATTTTGTAGATAAATTGTAGATTATTTGTATTCTGATTGTAGATGTTTTATTTTTTGTTTTCACAAATAAAAAAATGACTAAAACTTCTACAGATCTTTTGAAAAAACGCAATTATGTCAAAAATCCCAATTATACTACAATTGAATGGGAATTAGGATATTAAAAATCAATGTACCCAGTTTGTAGATATTTCGTAGATAAATTGTAGATTATTTGTATTCTGATTGTAGATGCTTTGTTTTCTGTTTTCACAAATCAAAAACGATTAAAACTTCTACAAATCTTCTGCAAAAACTCAATTATGTCGAAAATCCCAATTATGCTACAATTGAATGAGAATTGGGATATTAGAATTTAATATACCCACTTTGTAGATATTTTATCGATAAATTGTAGATTATTTGTATTCTGATTGTAGATGCTTTGTTTTCTATTTTCATAAATCAAAAACGACTAAAACTTCTACAAATCTTCTGCAAAAAAATGCAATTATGTCGAAAATTTCGACTATGCTACAATTCTGTGATTCTCCTATATGCTCTTGTTATTCCTTACGATTTGCTATGCTAAATATGGAATCCAAAAAAAATATTTCTGCAATTTTTCTTCAAGAAAAATAAATAAACAACAGTCTACAATTTATCTACAATTTCTGCAATATACGTCTTCTTCTTCGAATTTCAATCTGAAATTTAGTCAAAACCAAGTCTAATCTTCATCAAAACCCCTCAAAATTGAGATATAAACTCCAAAGCATATTCCCAATTATTTACAACAACACCCAATCCAAACAAATAATGATTTTTGAAAACCCAAATTTGAATTCAAAGCTTTTTAATGGCTGTCAATGGTGGAATTGCTGCTCTTTTTTCCTTTCCTCTTATATTACTGAAGGAACCCGAAATCATAACCATCAAAAGTTATTGCTGTGTATGAAACTTTGAAAATTTGACTTCAATTTTGACTGGTTGTAGAAGAAAAAACCTTGATTTTGGATATTAATGGTAGAGAGTTTCAATTGTTTTTCTGGATTTAGCAGAGGGTTTCAATTGTTTTTCTGGNAGTAATATAGTTTCCTATATGACATAGGAATGTAAAAATTCCTATAAAATATGTTGACACATGTTACGTAGGCAACATGATCCATCAAGTGGAATAAAATGTGTTCTAATAGAGCGAAATGGATAGTAAAGATACATATGACGACCCGATTAATTTGGAACCAATTGTCCATAATTCAATAGCCTAAAATGGGACAACATATTAGGAGTAATAAATTTCACATAAAGGGGGTAAAATTCGTAAAAGTGCCAAAATTCGGTAAATTTCAGAAAATTCATATTCTTTTAATCTGTGACTTTTATCCGTCCAAACACCATGTGAAGAAATTACTCGTGCACTTTTAAAAAAACATCAAAATTCACTATTTTAATTTCATATTATATGTTACCATTTTTGTTTGAAAATCCAATGTCGTTAACTCACTTATTTGACTAATTCAGATTTGTATCTGGTATGCCTACTAGTGGGTAAAAGCTCGCTACCGAGAAGTATTTCGTTCTTAGAGTTCGAACTCGAGATCTTTGGTTAAATGTAAAGGGATCTCAACCATCTCACGACACTCTTTAGTAGTATATTATCTTTCCTTTTTTTACACTTGTTAAATTTCTTAAAATTTTGTAACAAAGATTTTTTTTAAAATGAAAAGAAAAGAAAAATTAACTTTTAAGTGAGCTTCCACCTAATAATACGAGAAAAAAGACTAATAGCCTGTTTGGCCAAGCTTTTTTTTGGTCAAAAATTAAGGTGTTTGGCCAAGCTTTTGGAAGGAAAAAAAGTGCTTCTGAGGAATTTGGAGAAGCAGAAAAAGTAGTTTTTCTCCAAAAGCACTTTTTTGAGAAGCACACTTAGAAGCAATTTTTTAAAGTTTGGCCAGACACTAATTGTTGCTCAGAAGTGCTTTTCAAATTAATTAGTCAAACACAAACTGCTTCTCACCAAAAATATTTTTGAGAAAAACACTTTTCAAAATAAGCTGATTTTTGCAGCTTGGCCAAACGGACTATAAAATTGACTGTCCACGTTTAATACATGGTGGCTGGACTTTTGTGGACGAGTTTTTGTCTCGTACTTGCTCAGTCAAACGATTATAATTGAGAGGGAAAAGTTTAAAAAAATAAATTAAAAAGGACTCTAATTGATATTATGGAAAAGGGCAAAAAACATAAGAAATAATAAGTAGTCTGGTTGTTGCTGAATTTTAAAAGTTATGAAATTTGACTTTTCTTATTTAAGACTCCAATATATTTGTTTAGTAAGTTGTTTTGATATATTTAAAATTTTATCTTTTATTGGATTTCCAAAATCCTTCTCTAGATTCGTTATATTTGGGACAAATATAACTTATAGAATGCAAAGTTTTAAAAATTTATAGAATAACCTTTCTTTCTCTAACCAATTTAAAATTAGGGACCAACAAAGAAAAATCACAATACCGAATATGTCCTTTTGAATTATTTCCTTTCACTTCCCTCCAACTAGAAATCATTCATTCACACTGAAAAAAATTAAATTTAAAATTTCAATATCAATAATTTTTTCCAGTATGAAAAATAATAATATACGAATGTTACCACTTGTTTATCGAACAACAAACCAGGGTCTTGAAAAGAGAGAACGATATCTACTTATATTTGGAAAGTTATCGTGATAGTTTATTTTTGAAATTTCTCATACTATCTTATCCAAAGTAGATAACGATATATTTAACTCGGTTGTACAGATATTTTAATAGTAGTTATTGTTACGAGAAATTAAATCGTAAAATACGAAAAAAATGCGAATATATATTGAAGTAGATTTTATATTTCTAGGGAAATATTATATATTTGCTGGTTCATTAATTACAGATTGAATCAAAATAAATTCTTGGATAATCCTTTATTTATTGAAACACATTAAAAACAGTCCATTTTTAACAAAGAAAAAGACCAACTTGAAGAGGAAAAAAATTGAATTTACAATTTAACCCCTCCAATTTTCTCCCAACAACCCAAACAACTCTAACCTTCTCCCAAATCCACCAACCCCCAAAAAAACATTTTTTATTTTTTATTTTTTGCATTTTTTAACAATAAATAAATAAATAAACCCATGTTGCATGAAGTACCCACGTCAGTCTCAAATCTCAACCGTTAATTACACCTAAAATCAAGGGCTAAAATTAATCTACCAACAACCACCATTTAGTATTCTTTGCCACTATATTTTCTTTACCTACCAACATTTTAGTTCCATTCCCCTCTATTTATACACCACATCTCCCATCAACCTCTCTTCAAAAAATAAGAAAAAACATCTTTAATTCTTAGCCATTTTCTCTTCTCCAAATCTCCTCACACCCTTTAACATTTCTAGCCAATTCTTTATTTTCTAGCCACTTCTTCATTTTCTAGCCATTTCTTGATCAAACAATGGCATCAAATGGTCATGTTAATGGAGGAGAAAACTTTGAGTTGTGCAAGAAATCATCAGCCACTGATCCATTGAATTGGGAAATGGCAGCTGAATCTTTAAGAGGGAGTCATTTGGATGAAGTGAAAAAAATGGTGAGTGAATTTAGAAAACCAATGGTAAAACTTGGTGGTGAAACTTTAACAGTGGCACAAGTGGCTGCTATTGCTGTTAGGGACAAAAGTGCAAATGGTGTTAAAGTTGAACTTTCTGAAGAGGCAAGAGCTGGTGTTAAAGCTAGTAGTGATTGGGTTATGGATAGTATGAATAAAGGAACAGATAGTTATGGTGTTACTACTGGTTTTGGTGCTACATCTCATAGGAGAACCAAGAATGGTGGTGCTCTTCAAAAAGAACTTATTAGGTAAACCACTTTTCATCTACCTAACTTTTCTTTTTCCAATAAAAATAGTAGAGGCGGACTCAGAATTTTAACGTGACGGGAATAATATTTTGTTCAATCAGTACCTCCTAAAATTTTTTATCGTTCAGGATGCTAAATAATTTAATTTAGCCATTTTCAAGGTATACATATATTATATATACAAGATTTCTGCCGAAGTGTCCTCCGGCCACGGGTGGTGCTAGATGGGCAGAAAGGGTTCAGCCGATCCCCTTCGACCGAAAAAAAAATATTAGCATCTAAATTTTTCTATGACAGCATTAAGGAATTTTTACACTATCAATATAGAAGGATATTTTACGTTATTTTTACGTTATCAGTTTCCCTTAGTGTAAGTAGTTATATATAGTTATCTTTTAGATGATCGTAAAAATTAAATTGTGTTTGATCATGTGTAGTAATAGCTAAATTCTTATTCTGCAAGAAAATCTGATTAGCATTTTTGAGTTAATGATCTACTATTTTGAGTTAATAGCTATTAATGATTTACTTATTTGACCTTACAAAAAGAATTATCTATTATTTTTGAGTCAACAGTTATTAATGATTTACTTTAAGTCTTATGTCAACTAATCTTTTTGTAAGAGGAAATGATTTTTAAGATATCAATTTATAAGTTAAAATGTGTACATTTTCTATGTAATCTAAATCATTATAGCAGCTATATTTCAATTTATTATATCCAACCAAATATAAAGAGTTACTTATTATTATAGAATAATATAATCTGGTACTATATATATTCCTTATTTTATCATAGTAGAGATGATAAAGTTTATATGTCTAAATATTCCTTAGATTTACATCTTGAAATATTGAATAAAGAAAAATATTAAATAGTCCTTGAAAAAATATTTTATATTGGAACTTGGTACGAAGTACAGGAATTTTGCAACTACATCTATAAATCTAATTATATATATTAAATTCAGCACAACTATAAAAAATAAGCCACAAGATTGACTTATGTGGGGTTAGAAAAAGTGTGTGGTAGGTGGGGGATCATTTTAGTCATTTCATCTTCCTTCTAGTTTTATACAAAGTACATGTTAGAATTTACTCATTAAATTTTTCGTACTACTTTTTTCCTAAATTAGAAAGAAAAAATAATTTAAATAAACATCTTTAACTAGTTAATTTATTTTTGTGGGTCCTCTAATAATAGATGAGAGAAAAGTGGGCTTATGTAGACAGTTTACATTTCCAACTATTTGGGTCGAATACCAGTCAACCCATGTGCTGTCTCTTGTCAGATATCTATTTATTTTAAAGTACAAATAATTTTTATAATTTTTAAAAATAAATTTTGCACAAAATAACTATAAATAAGTAATTTTATAATTATTTAAGTAGAATTGATAAAATTGTTATGAAATGACAATTTAACTCTCAAATTTTCACTTTCACTTTTATTTTTTGGCCTAGTTTACTTTTAGCTTGCACCGAAACTATTTACATTCGGTTGCTACAAAAGTGTATAAACTTTATATATTATATATATATTCGATTATTATTTTTAGAGCGGTTATACAGTGTCATTTTTTTTTTTTATTTCCCCTCAACCTACCCACGAGGCTAAAATATAACAAATGTGTGCCCCCCTTTAAAGGGGACTTATATCACTTGAAAATGATGGGAGATGATGTAACACACTACTAGTTTTTCATTTGTTTTAAAGCTGTATAATAGTCCGTTTGGCCAAGCTGCAAAAATTAGCTTATTTTGAGAAATGCTTTTTTTTTCAAACAAAAGTACTTTTGGTGAGAAGCAGTTTGTGTTTGACTAATTAGTTTGAAAAGCACTTCTGAGCAGCAATTAGCGTTTGGCCAAGCTTTAAAAAACTGTAAGTGTAATTTTCTGTGCTTTTGGAGAGAAGCTACTTTTTTCTGCTTCTCCAAAACTGCTTCTGCTTCTCCTCAAAAGCACTTTTTTTCCTTTCAGAAGCTTGGCCAAACAGGCTATAATACAGTTACAGCCGTATTTGTTCCGATATTTTTTATATGCTATAATAAAGTGATATTATAGAGGTTATATATTATAACATAACATAAAAGATTGAAAAATTGGCATGGTGAATGACTATTATATACATATGTTGTTAACACATGTTCTTATTTAGATTTGATTGGTAGAATTCAGTTCAATATCTAATCTTGCTGACATTGAATTGACAGGTTCTTGAATGCTGGTGTTTTTGGCAATGGAACAGAAACAAGCCACACATTGCCACATTCAGCAACAAGGGCAGCTATGCTTGTTAGGATCAACACACTCCTACAAGGCTACTCTGGCATCAGATTTGAAATCTTGGAAGCAATTGCAAAATTGATTAACAGCAACATTACTCCATGTTTACCTCTCCGTGGCACGATCACTGCCTCGGGCGATCTTGTTCCTTTATCCTACATTGCTGGTTTGCTCACTGGTAGGCCTAATTCCAAGGCTGTTAGTCCCAATGGTGAGACCCTTAATGCTGAAGAAGCGTTCCGCGTTGCTGGTGTTAACGGTGGATTTTTCGAGTTGCAGCCTAAGGAAGGACTTGCACTTGTGAATGGTACAGCAGTTGGTTCTGGTATGGCATCAATGGTCCTCTTTGATTCCAACATTCTTGCTGTTATGTCTGAAGTTTTATCAGCAATTTTCGCTGAAGTTATGAACGGAAAGCCCGAATTTACTGACCATTTGACACACAAGTTGAAGCACCACCCTGGTCAAATTGAGGCTGCTGCTATTATGGAACATATTTTGGATGGAAGCTCTTATGTGAAGGCGGCTCAAAAGCTACATGAAATGGATCCTCTCCAAAAACCAAAGCAAGATCGTTATGCTCTCCGAACATCTCCACAATGGCTTGGCCCTCAAATTGAAGTCATTCGCGCTGCAACTAAGATGATTGAGAGGGAGATTAACTCAGTGAACGATAACCCCTTGATCGATGTTTCAAGAAACAAGGCATTACATGGTGGCAACTTCCAAGGCACCCCTATCGGTGTGTCCATGGATAATGCAAGATTGGCTCTTGCATCAATTGGGAAATTGATGTTTGCTCAATTCTCGGAACTTGTCAACGACTATTACAACAACGGTTTGCCATCTAACCTCACCGCATCAAGGAATCCAAGCTTGGACTATGGTTTCAAGGGAGCTGAAATCGCCATGGCATCTTACTGCTCAGAACTTCAATTCTTGGCAAATCCAGTGACAAACCATGTCCAAAGTGCTGAGCAACACAACCAAGATGTCAACTCCTTGGGCTTAATCTCAGCAAGGAAAACAGCTGAAGCTGTCGATATCTTAAAGCTCATGTCATCAACTTATCTAGTGGCACTTTGCCAAGCTATCGACTTGAGGCATTTGGAGGAAAACTTAAAGAATGCAGTCAAGAACACAGTTAGCCAAGTAGCTAAGAGAACTCTTACAATGGGTGCTAACGGTGAACTTCATCCAGCAAGATTCTGTGAAAAGGAATTGCTACGAGTCGTGGACAGGGAATACTTGTTCGCCTACGCTGATGATCCTTGCAGTTGCAACTACCCTTTAATGCAGAAACTGAGACAAGTACTTGTTGATCATGCAATGAATAATGGTGAAAGTGAGAAGAATGTGAACAGCTCAATCTTCCAAAAGATTGGAGCTTTCGAAGACGAATTAAAGGCTGTTTTACCAAAGGAAGTTGAGAGTGCAAGAGCTGCATTGGAATGTGGCAACCCTGCTATTGCTAACAGGATTACAGAATGCAGATCTTATCCATTGTACAGGTTTGTGAGAAAGGAGCTTGGAACAGAACTACTAACAGGAGAAAGAGTCCGATCACCGGGCGAGGAGTGTGAGAAAGTGTTCACAGCAATGTGCAATGGACAGATTATTGATCCAATGTTGGAGTGTCTCAAGAGCTGGAATGGTGCTCCTCTACCTATCTGTTAGGTGTTTGCTTGATTTCGCGCGACAGGAACTTTTGTTAATGTTTGTCAATGCTATTTTTCAGATTCTTTTTTCGCTCTTTGGTGAATTACTATCATAATATGTTGTGAACTTAATAGTTTTTTGGTTAGCTGAAAGAGTGTTAAAACTCTTTTAAATATGTTGGATTGTAGTTGTATATGTCTCTTTTCAGTATAAACTTAATGAAAAGTGACAGTGTGCTTAAATCTTCCTGGCAATTCTTCTTCTCCTATTAATTTTGGATCAGGGAATGTTCAGTAAGCATATGGAACACCAATCAAATCACTAAAAACTGTATTCCCCTTCTGTTACTTTGTCCTCTTAAAAGAATAGAATACTAATTGTGTAAATTTTTGGAGATTTTTCGAAAATGAGTTTTTCAAAAATTCAAAAGTGATTTTGATCACTTTTTCAAATTTTTTGGATTTTTTTTTCCACTCACAAAACCGTAATATTTTTTTCAACTAAAATACATGTCCAAATGTTATTTTTTTTTCAACGTAATTCCAAATACTACTTTTTTTGTCCAACCGCTTACTAAATATCTAAAAAAAACTATTAAGGGATAACTGACGATTTCCAAATAAAAGGAATATAAATTGATGAAATTGCCTTTGATATGTCTGAAACAAATGGTCCTAAGCAGTATAGCACAAGGTAAACATGGAAAATGATCCCAAGCACAAGGTAAACATGGAAATTAAAAAATTACAACACATCGTCAATACTGCTATAAGTGGTATAAAATCAGTGCTCCCTCCGATCCACCAATTTGCTTTTGACACACCCATTAAAAAAATACTAAATTCTATACAAAAATACCTAGAATGACGAAACTACCCTTAATTAAATATTTAATGTGAGGAGTAAGAAACTTTTTAGGAATATGTACATAAGGGTAATCTTGTAAAAACAAATTGAATTCTTTCTTGATTATATAAATGGAGACTTATTTTGGACCAAAATAAAAAGTAAATTGGTCACTTATTCTGGACCGGAAGGAGTAAAATTTATAGCCTGTTTGGCCAAGCTTATTTTTGGCCAAAAGTATTTTTTTTTGCCAAAAGCACTTTTGGCCAAAAATTGAGGTGTTTGGCCAAGCTTTTGGAAGGAAAAAAAGTGCTTTTGAGGAGAAGCAGAAGCAGTTTTGGAGAAGCAGAAAAAAGTAGCTTCTCTTCAAAAGCACTTTTTTGAGAAACACTTTTGAGAAAAATACACTTAGAAACAGTTTTTTAAAGTTTGGTCAAACACTAATTGCTGCTCAGAAGTGCTTTTTCAAACTAATTAGCTAAATACAAATTACTTCTCACCAAAAGTACTTTTGAGAAAAACACTTTTGAAAAAAACATTTCTCAAAATAAACTGATTTTTGTAGCTTGGCCAAACGGGCTATTAATGCGCTCATTAGGAAAATCACTAATAAAAAGTATTACGACAATTTCCAGTTATTATTGATACAAGAAAGAAATAATTACAATATCACGTTACCAATGAGGAGACAAAAATCTTAACACGTCATGTCATATCACTTTAGGAAAGTACCATTCAAGTCAATTATTTGAATCTTTTCTAGAAAAGTTAAAAAGAAAAGTCACACTTCCTTTTTATCACCACCGGAAGGATGTAAGAAAGTTTTTTTCAATTTAAGTGACAATTGAAATGAAATTTATTTATTAAATTTAGAGTCGCCACTTGAGATAATTTATGGTGTCCCAAGTCACTCGTTTGAAAATCCCGAATCGAGGAAGTTTGACTCTTATTTATGGTCTGCGAACACAAAAATTCAGGTAAGGAATTCTGTTAACCCGGGAGAAGGTGTTAGACATTTCCAGATTCCGTGATTCTAGCACGGTCGCTCAACTATTATTATTGGCCTATTTATCTGACTTTTAAAATATTTTTGAAACCTACACATTTTATCCCTTTTAAAACCGCTTTTAACAATCTGATTGTCATAAAACTAATTATTTGATTACACATTGTGAATCGTGTCACAGGAATCGTACCCACGATCTACAACATGTTTATTTTATTAACAAAATTAAATTGTGGTCGGGTCATATAAATGTACCTCCGAATTTTAGAAAGTAAAGCATCACAACTACGTCACGGGAACCGTACCCGTAGCTATGATACTTTATTTAATTGCGCCTAAAGCAAACTCCGAGTGTTTAAAATGTTTTCTACACTAAGTTGTAAAATTAATATGAGGGCCATAGATTAAGGGATTCATTTGTGAATGGCACGCCTCAATTTATTTCAAAAAATTGCTCTCAACTTAAAGCAAACTACGGATGTTTATAGTTTTTTCTTTCTAAGCTACTTCAAGATTATTGTAAGGACAAAGTTGCTCAATCAAATATAGTCATATAAATTTAAACCACACAGTAATTATTTTCCACATAATCGCCTAATAAAAAATATATATGCACATATGGACAAAAAGCTCTAGAAAGCTTGCTCTTGATTGTACTACTCCATCTCTTTTTTGACTAATTTCCTAAATTTATTGTTCCAACTGTTGATATTTAATTTTTTTCTGTATATTTTAATATGCAAAATACTTTCAAAATAACATATGTGTGCATATATAACTATGCTCAAATGCTTTATTATTTTTTCTTAATTTTTAAAGATTTTTAAATCGATTTATTACCCTATTTTATCCATAAAAATCCAATAATTATTCCTAAAATTATCATTTTGGTAATTCATTTATTAGATTTTCATATTTATACTAAAATATAGGTAATATAATTTTTGCATATTTTTACAAAGTCATTTAGCATTTTTAAAGTTAAATTGTATATAATTACATAATTAGCCTCTTTTAAGGTTAATTACGTTTATATTCATAAAAATTAGGTTTGGTATTTTTAAATTGTAAATTATGTGCTATAAATCATTTTGGTACCTTTAGTTTATTTCCAGAAATTAATTTATTATTTCTTATAAATTAAATAGGAAAAATTGGCTATTTAAATGTTAGCTCAATTTCATTTCAATGATAGCCCAATTCTGACCCCAATTGGACTCAACTGAAACCATTTGAACCCCCGACCCAATTCTGATTTTGTAACGACCTGACCTGTCGTTTTAANTTTATTTCCAGAAATTATTTATTATTTCTTATAAATTAAATAGGAAAAATTGTCTATTTAAATGTTAGCTCAATTTCATTTCAATGATAGCCCAATTCTGACCCCAATTGGACTCAACTGAAACCATTTGAACCCCCGACCCAATTCTGATTTTGTAACGACCTGACCTGTCGTTTTAAGAATTTGCGTCTCGTTCAACGACTTAAGACCTCGAGAAGCTTCATAATATGTATTATGACCCGCATGTGTGGTCGAGCTTGATTTTTGGTAGATTCGGAATTTAAATGAAAGAATAACTCTCATTTTGGAAGCTTAAATGAAAAGAATTGACCGGAGTTTGACTTTTTAGCAAACGACTCCGGAATAGAATTTTGATAACTCCAATAGCTTCATATGGTAATTTCGGACTTGGGCATTTGCTCGGATTTGGATTTGAAAGTTCGTAGGTCAATTTAACACATTTTGGCAAAATTTGGAAAATAGAAAATTTTTGGAAAGTTTGATAGGGGAGTTGACTTTTTGATATCGGGATCAAAATCCGATTCTGGTAATCGGAACATCTCCGTTATGTCATTTATGACTTGTGTGTAAAATTTGAGGTCAATCGGAATTGATTTGATAGGTTCCTGCATCAAATGTAGAATTTGGAATTTGTTACTTTTGAATAAGCTTGAATTGGGGTGCGATTCATGTTTTAGTGTTGTTCAATGTTATTTGAGGCATCGACTAAGTTTTTGTCATGTTATGAGACTTGTTAGTTTACTTCGTTGGGATCCCGTGGAGCTCGGATGAGTTTTGGAAGAGTTTTTGGAAGAGTTTGGTGTTTTGAGCATAAGCACGTAGTGATCCAAAGGTCCATTTTTAGTTCTAGAAATCAAAATTTAATTTCGAGACTTTCTGGATTTTGATAATGAATTATAGGAGTGATATGGAAAGCTTGGTCTAATTTCATCAAGTCGCGATTGAGTTTTTAGCGCGAAACATGAGTTAATTGTTTAACGAGCGAAATGGGTATCACATTGAGCGAATGATCTTCGAATTTTGTTTCGATTGAAGGAACAGGTTCGTATTATTATTTGTGACTCATAAGAACAAGAATCGTCGAATTCCGAGCTCGTATGATGGAGTTAGAGCATTTTTAGTAAAATAAAAAGCTGCTGAAATTTTCTGGGCAATTGCTGGTTTTTTCGCAGATGCGGTGAACAGTACCACATCTGCGGTGAACAGTAATCCCGCATTTGTGGCGAACAGTAAAACCGCACCTGCGGTGAACAGTACCGCAGATGCAAAAATTGGTGGACAAATTATAATTCAAGTTCTGAAAATGAGACTTCGTCCCATTTTCCATTTTTACCAAATTA